GCAAGAAATTGTCAATTGTACAGTATTGCGCAATAGCAAGAAATATTCAATTGCACAGTATTGTGCAAAAGAAGATACTTCGTATAAATTGCTTATTTCTTGATCAATTTCAATGGGGTTTTATTCTTGAATTCTTGGGGTTCTTCAATATGCTGAATCTTACCGTGTATTAAGTTTTTGGATTTTGGGCCCCGTTTTTAAATTGGTCCACATTGAGGTCCAAAGGGTCCAAAATTTAACTTTGTTTGATTTCATCAAAAATTGAATTATTGGGGTTCTTTGATCTGCCGAATCTAATCGTGTATTTAGATTCTTAATTTTTGGTTCCGTTTTCAAATTGGTCTACATTGATGTCCAAAGGGTCCGAAATTAAACTTAGTTTGATTTTAACAAAAATTGAATTTTTAGGGTTCTTTGATATGCTGAATCTAAACATGTATTTAGATTTTTGATTATGGGCTCAGTTTTCAAGTTGGTCCAAATCGGGGTCCAAAATTAAACTTTGTTTGATTTCAACAAAAATTGAATATATGGGGTTCTTTGATATGCTGAATCTAACCATGTATTTAGATTTTTGATTTTTGGGCCCCGTTATCAACTTTGTCTACATTGAGGTCAGAAGGGTCTAAAATAAAACTTTGTTTGATTTCATCAAAAATTGAATTCTTGGGGTTCTTTGATATGCTGAATCTAACCATGTATTTAGATTTTGGATATTGGACCATAATAGGTGAATGTCCAATTTAAAATTTTTAAGTTCTTAGACCACATTCATTCTGTGTCAGAAACCTATGCTGTGTCAAATATTTAATCACAATCCAAATTCAGAGCTGTATCAAGCTTGAATGTTGTGTCCATACTTGCCCCAACTGTTCAGGGTTCGACCTCTGCGGTCGTATCAAGCTGCGCCCTGCGGAGCATTTTATTTAATTTGCAACAAAAACTTGTGTTCAAGTGTATGGATCTCTGTGAAATTGTATTGCAATGTACCATACCACAAATTGAAGGTTGTGATTGAGGTGGGGGATGATGAATCAAAAGGGGGTTGAAAAAATGTGTGGGAGGTAGGATTTTTTTTTTTCTTTTTTTTTTCTTTAAAATTTTCCATTTAAAGATGGTTGTTTCAGATTTATATATGAAAGAAAATAATAATGATACGGTTATATATCATGAGGAATTGAAATTTAAAATTATGTATATTGGAAATTTAAGTTACATTGGAAAGTAATAATTGGCTTTTGGGGGGGGGGGGGCGGTTATGGCTCTAATGTTTAAGGAATAAGGGGAAAAAAGGTTAAAAAACAAGGGTTTCCATTTTAATAGACAAATAATTGAGTAAAGAACATTATTTAAAAGCAGTGTAAGGTTGGTAATTCAAACTCATTTAAATATCTCATCTACACTGCTTTTAAATTATGTAAATTGGAAATTTGCCAATAACTTTATTGTTAATAAATGCATTGGAAATTTGCCAACAATTTTAGTGTAATAAACTTCATTGGAAATTTGCCAATATAAAATTTTGCTGATGAAGGTTTTTTGTTTACCTTTAGCCTTGACTATGAAGTCATTTTCTATTTTTATAGCCTTATGATGTAGTTGAATTATTTAATACTTTTATGATGTGTTTAAATGGGGTTTTATCATGTTTATGGTTGCAAATTTATTGTTTTAGTATAATAAACTCCATTTAAAATTTGCCAATAAAAAAATTTTTGTTTATTTTTAGCTATGATTATGATGTCATTTTCTATTTTACTTTTATGGTTGCAAAGAAATTTTTATTTTTAGATATTACTGTTAAATGATGCTGATTAAGGTTTTTGCTATGTTTAGCCATGACTATGATGTCATTTTCTATTTTAATATCTGTTATGATATATTTAAATGGGCTTTTATGGTTACAAAGGAATTTTATTTTTAGATATTACTATAAAATGTTGCTGATGCTGATTAAGGATTTTGTTTATTTTTAGCCATGACTATGATGTCATTTTCTATTTTAATACCTTTATGATGTAATTTCCATTTTTAGATATTACTGTTAAATGATGCTGATTAAGGGTTTTTTGCTATGTTTAGCCATGACTATGATGTCATTTTCTATTTTAATATCTTTATGATGTATTTAAATGGGCTTTTATGGTTACAAAGGAATTTTATTTTTAGATATTACTATAAAATGTTGCTGATGCTGATTAAGGATTTTGTTTATTTTTAGCCATGACTATGATGTCATTTTCTATTTTAATACCTTTATGATGTAATTTCCATTTTTAGATATTACTGTTAAATGATGCTGATTAAGGGTTTTTTGCTATGTTTAGCCATGACTATGATGTCATTTTCTATTTTAATATCTTTATGATGTATTTAAATGGGCTTTTATGGTTACAAAGGAATTTTATTTTTAGATATTACTATAAAATGTTGCTGATGCTGATTAAGGATTTTGTTTATTTTTAGCCATGACTATGATGTCATTTTCTATTTTAATACCTTTATGATGTAATTTCCATTTTTAGATATTACTGTTAAATGATGCTGATTAAGGGTTTTTTGCTATGTTTAGCCATGACTATGATGTCATTTTCTATTTTAATATCTTTATGATGTATTTAAATGGGCTTTTATGGTTACAAAGGAATTTTATTTTTAGATATTACTTTAAATGTTGCTGATTAAGGATTTTTGTTTATTTTTAGCCATGACTATGATGTCACTTTCTATTTTAATACCTTTATGATGTATTTAAATGGGCTCCCATGTATTTAGATTTTTGATTATTTATACATGTTACCAAATTGGTCCACATTGAACAAAAACGGTCCAAATTTCAACTTTATTACATTACATCAAACATTGAATTCTACATATTCTTTGATATATTGAAATTAACAAACAATTTAGTTTATGGATATTCCACCATAATAGGTAAATTAAATTTTTTCCAGTTCTTACACCACATTCATCCTGTGTCAGAAACCTATGCTGTGTCAAATATTTAATGACAATCCAAAGTCATAGCTGTATCAAGCTTGAATTTTGTGTCCATACTTGCCCCAACTGTTCAGGGTTCGACCTCTGCGGTCGTATCAAGCTGCGCCCCAGCGAAGCATTTTATTGTAACTTCCAGACATAACTTGTGTGTTAGTGTATGGATCTCTCTGACATTGTACCACAAGGTTCCATATCACAAAAGGAATGCTGGGATTTATTTTGGGGGGTAATTGCCTCAAAACTTTAGGAATTAGGGGCCAAAAAAGGGGCAAAAAACAAGCATTTTTCTAATTTCAGGACCATAACTTGTGTGTAAGTGTATGGATCTTTATGAAATTGTACTACAAGGTTTCATATCACAAAGGGAAAGCTGGGTTTGAGTTTGGGGGTAATTGCCCTAAACATTTAGGAATAAGGGGCCAAAAAGGGGCCTAAAAACAAGCATTTTTCTAGTTTCCAGACAATAACTTGTGTTCAAGTGTATGGATCTCTCTGAAATTGTACTGCAAAGTACCATACCACAAAGGGAAGGCTGGGATTGATTTTGGGGGTAATTGCCTCAAAAGTTTAGGAATTAGGGACCAAAAAGGGGAAAAAAGACAAGCATTTTTCTAATTTCAGGACCATAACTTGTGTGTAAGTGTATGGATCTTTATGAAATTGTACTACAAGGTTTCATATCACAAAGGGAAAGCTGGGTTTGAGTTTGGGGGTTATTGCCCTAAACATTTAGGAATTTGGGGCCAAAAAGGGGCCTAAAAACAAGCATTTTTCTAGTTTCCAGACAATAACTTGTGTTCAAGTGTATGGATCTCTCTGAAATTGTACTGCAAAGTACCATACCACAAAGGGAAGGCTGGGATTGATTTTGGGGGTAATTGCCTCAAAATTTTAGGGATCAGGGGCCAAAAAGGGGGAAAAAACAAGCATTTTTCTAATTTCAGGACCATAACTTGTGTGTAAGTATATGGATCTTTATGAAATTGTACTACAAGGTTCCATATCACAAAGGGAAAGCTGGGTTTGAGTTTGGGGGTAATTGCCCTAAACGTTTAGGAATTTGGGGCCAAAAAACAAGCATTTTTTCTAGTTTCCAGACAATAACTTGTGTTCAAGTGTATGGATCTCTCTGAAATTGTACTGCAGGTAACATACCACAAAGGGAAGGCTGGGATTGAGTTTGGGGGTGATGAATCATAAGGGGGTTCAAAAAATTTGGGGGGGGGGGATTTTTTTTTCTTTAAAATCTTCCATTTTAAATTGGTTATTTATGATATATATAAAAGCAAATAATAATGATATGGTTTGAATAGGTAAATTAAAAAATTTTAAGTTCTTAGACCACATTCATTCTGTGTCAGAAACCTGTGCTGTGTCAAATATTTAATCACAATCCAAATTCAGTGCTGTATCAAGCTTGAATGTTGTGTCCATACTTGCCCCAACTGTTCAGGGTTCGACCTCTGCGGTCGTATCAAGCTGCGCCCAGCGGAGCATTTTATTGTTCTCTACTTAAGTTAGCCTCAACCAAATGTTATGAGACTTAAACACAATGCTTATTACCACAAAACTCAGATCAAGTTCAAATTTGGGTAGCGTCACTTTTACCGTTCTTCAGTTATGTCCCTTTATGACTATATCATATGCAAGTGGGGGCATCAGCTGTGTCCACATGTGGACACTATCCACATTTATTTATATAGATTAGACCGTTGGTTTTCCCGTTTGAATGGTTTTACACTGGTGATTTTTGGGGCCCTTTATAGTTTGCTGTTCGGTGTGAGCCAAGGTTCCGTGTTGGAGACCGTACTTTGACCTATAATGGTTTACTATTATAAATTTTTACTTGGATGGAGATTTGTCTCATTGGCACTCATGCCACATCTTCTTATATCTATTATACTACCAAAATTACTAAAAGGCAAGACATATCTCTGTGTCAACAGTTTATTTATATTGCCAATATATTTGATAAAGAGAATACTTAATGTGTTTAACAGATTGGCCTATTAGATGTAGACCTTTGTGGTCCAAGTGTACCAAAAATGTTTGCTGTGGAAGGCAAAGATATTCATCAGTGTCCAGAAGGGTATGTTACACAATTAAATAATGATCAAAATTACTATCAATACATTTCTAAAAACAGTTGAAATAAACTATGCCAATATTTTGAGTAAAGGTTTGCTGGCCTTTCATGTTAGAAACAAAATTTTACTGGTGATGAAGTCAGCATAATCTAAACCAAATTAACACATTGTATACCATATAATTGCTCTCATCTTTCTCATAAAACTTTTGCTCTTAGACTCAGTGACTTTGGAGAAAGAGCTCAATGCAGGAAAATATAATACTGACACCTTTTAATCTTAAAAATACTGCAACTGCTTTATATTTGGAATTTTTTCAAAATAGACATATAGAGGATGACTTATGGTGTCCAACAATGAACAAAAAGCTTTAAGAAACTACTGTTCTAGAGAAAAGTTTTTAAGACAGTGACAACCTTTGACAAGAATCTTGAATTGAGACAGGCACAAATGAAGTAGTTGTGTGTTTACTGAACCCTTCCTTGATTACCCTGATTAAAATATAATGAAAATGTTTCCATGAAAAGCAACTTTCAGTAGATTAATTTAATTACATACCGTAGGTATTACAGAAGATTAAAAACACTTCTTGAAAAACCTAAAATATGCAGTTACTGAAACCAAGCTCAAAATATTTCATATGTTTGCAATGAAATCATACTTTCTTTAACCATTTGAAAGGAGCCATTTAATGAATTTGATTTTTGTCACACTAGATGGTTACCTGTTTATGTTGATAAGGAACAACAGCTAGGTGTAATGTCAATTGCTTTTTTGTTAGACGGTAAAGACGATGCTGTTGTATGGAGAGGGCCAAAGAAAACAGGTAAGTTATTTTGCGTAGAAATTATATTATCATTCACAGTAAAAAGGTATACATATATCATGCATATAAGATTCAGATCATAGATTCAATTCTTCTCTTATAGACCCCCTCCTCAATGCAGTGAGGGGGACATAAAAATATGTGGAGTGCATCTGTCTGTCAGCAGCCTGTTGTACGAACGTGTCATTAGTCTAATGAGTCATTAAGTCTTCATTAGCCTAATGCATCATAAAGGCTTAATGAAGACTTAATGACCCATTAGGCTAATGCCACGTTCGTACAACTGGCTGCTGGTCTATAAAGCATACTCACCTGTACAATTTTTGCCAAATTTTTTATAAAATTTATATCAAAGGTTTATATTAGCAATGGCTTGGAGGAGTTTGAAAATCAATGCAAATGAATTATATTTAAAGGAGTTATGCCCTTCCATTTATCTGTCCATCCATTTGGTCTTGTAAGCAATCTCACACATAAAATTCTTTGCCATATACATGTATATTTAAAAAAAAAATGATCAGCAATGTCATGGATGAGTTTGCAATTAAGTGCCAATCAACATATTTTAAAAAGAGTTATCCCCTTGGAAATATAAAGCAAATGGAAAATTGCATTGTAAGTTTTATCAAGCCTATTTTTCTTGTAGGATTTTATGAAATTTATATCAAAGGTTTAAATCATCTTGGAAAAGTTTGAAAATCAGTGTTAATCAAATGTTTTTGCAGGAGGTGTTTTCCTATGAAATGAAACTTATATGGAAAATGCATTGTAAGTGATCTCATGCCTACATTTTTAGCTCACCTGACCCGAAGGGTCAAGTGAGCTTTTCTCATCACTTGGCGTCCGTCGTCCGTCGTCCGTCGTCGTTAGCTTTTTACAAAAATCTTCTCCTCTGAAACCACTTGGCCAAATTTAACCAAACTTGGCCACAATCATCATTAGGGTATTTAGTTTAAAAAATATGTCCGATGACACCGCCAACCAACCAAGATGGTCGCCATGGCTAAAAATAGAACATAGGGGTAAAATGTAGATTTTGGCTTATATCTCTGAAATCAAAGCATTTAGAGTAAATCTGACTAGAGAAAAACTGATTATCAGGTCAAGATCTATCTGCCCTGAAATTTTCAGACAAATCTAACAACCTGTTAATGGGTTGCTGCCCCTGAATTGGTAATTTTAAGGAAATTTTGCAGTTTTTGGTTATTATCTTGAATATTATGATAGATAGAGATAAACTGTAAACAGCAATAATGTTCAGTAAAGTAAGATCTACAAATAAGTTGTCATGACCAAAATTGTCAGTCGACCCCTTTAGGAGTTATTGCCCTTAATAGTCAATTTTTAACAATTTTTCGTAAATTTTTGTAATCTTTTACAAAAATCTTCTTCTCTGAAACTACTGCGACAATTTTAACCATACTTGGCCATAATCATTATTAGGGTATCTAGTTTAAAAAATTTGTCCGATGACCCTGCTTTCCAACCATCATGGCCAACTTAGTTAAAAATAGAACATAGGGGTAAAATGCAGTTTTTGGTTTATATCTCTGAAACTAAAGCATTTAGAGCAAATCTGACAGGTGGCAAAAATGTTCATCAGATTTAGATTTATCTGCCCTGAAATTTTCAGACAAATCCGACGACCCGTTGTTGGGTTGCTGCCCCTGAGTTAGTAATTTTACAAAAATTTTGCAGTTTTTTGTTATTATCTTAGATATCATTATAATATCTAATATCTAATACTATTAATTATGATTTTAACCTTATTTTACATGATTTCCAAAGCATCAGTAAATACAGGTGAGCGACACAGGCTCTTGAGAGCCTCTAGTTTGAAAGGCAAAAAAAATATATGCTTGTTTCCTGCCTCCCTACCGTCCCTGTCTCAGACCTTCCGATCCTGTTTTTTTCTGTGCATTTGGGAAAAGTTGTCACAATACATCATCTTTTCAGGTTCATATTGTCTCCTCCAAATACAAACAAAATGTCAATCCGACAAACTTGGCACTGGACAAGCAACCAACAATTAATCAGACAATTACCAAATAAAAATTATGTATCTAGCTTTTTTCTCTCCTAAAAACTTTAGTAATGCTTATTTGGTTTTGAGTATCCTCTGTTCTTAAATTTACCTGTATCTCAGTTAAAAAAATAAAATGAATTGAAAAAAAAATAAAATGTATTCCCTAACTACCTACCCTTTTTTCTCAATTTGGAGGCAGGAGACAAGCATATATTTTTTTTGGCATAAGATGTTTTATATTAAAAAATGTATACAAAAAAAAAAGTATTTGAGCTATTGATTGCCTGTGGACTGATAAAATATGTGCTTTAGCAGGGGGCATTGGGACGCTATTCTTTAATTAAGTCTCCCAAACGAAGTTTGGGAAGACTTATTGTTTTTGCTCAGTTCTTCTTCTTCTTCTTCTTCTTCTTCTTCTTCTTCTTCTTCTTCTTCTTCTTCTTCTTCTTCTTCTTCTTCTTCTTCTTCTTCTTCTTCTTTTTCTTCTTCTTCTTCTTCTTCTTCTTCTTCTTCTTCTTCTTCCGCCGCTTTTAAATTTGAACTTGTCCGCACCTGTTCTCCAAAACCGCTTGTCAGATTAACTTAGGGTTTCACAATATGTTAGACTAACATGTCTAGTGGTGCAATCAGGGTTTTGTTTGTGCAATGGGGTTTATAAAGGGGTACTTTGAGGGGCAAAAAGAAAAGAGGGTTTTACTATAGAACCCTATGGGATTTTATTTTTTAAAATTTTCAAATGATTATAAATTGAAAACCGTTTGTGATAGACACAATCTTTTTAATTGAAAATGTTCTAAATGATAAAGCCCATTAAATGAAATACAGGGTTAGTCCCCAGGGGTCACCCCCACCCCCTACCATTTAAGAAAGTTCTAATATCTTCTAAGTGGTCAAGATCCCCACCCCTAAACCATATATATTCTGGTTTGTCATGCTAAGATGGTTTGAATGATATACAGGGTTAGTCCCCAGGGGTCATCCCTACCCCCTGCCATTTGAGAAAGTTCTAATATCTTGTAAATGGTCGAGATCCCCACCCCTAAACCATATATATTCTGGTTTGTCATGATAAAGCACATCAAATGTTATACAGGGTTAGTCCCCAGGGGTCACCCCCACCCCCTGCCATTTAAGAAAGTTCTAATATCTTCTAAGTGGTCAAGATCCCCACCCCTAAACCATATATATTCTGGTTTGTCATGATAAAGCACATCAAATGTAATACAGGGTTAGTCCCAAGGGGTCACCCCCACCCCCTGCCATTTAAGAAAGTTCTAATATCTTTCTAAGTGGTCAAGATCCCCTCCCCTAAACCATATATATTCTGGTTTGTCATGCTAAGATGGTTTGAATGATATACAGGGTTAGTCCCCAGGGGTCATCCCGACCCCCTGCCATTTGAGAAAGTTCTTATATCTTGTAAATGGTCGAGATCCCCACCCCTAAACCATATATATTCTGGTTTGTCATGATAAAGCACATCAAATGTAATACAGGGTTAGTTCCCAGGGGTCACCCCCACCCCCTGCCATTTAAGAAAGTTCTAATATCTTCTAAGTGGTCAAGATCCCCACCCCTAAACCATATATATTCTGGTTTGTCATGCTAGGATGGTTTGAATGATATACAGGGTTAGTCCCCAGGGGTCATCCCGACCCCCTGCCATCTGAGAAAGTTCTAATATCTTGTAAATGGTCGAGATCCCCACCCCTAAACCATATATATTCTGGTTTGTCATGATAAAGCACATCAAATGTTATACAGGGTTAGTCCCCAGGGGTCACCCCACCCCCTGCCATTTAAGAAAGTTCTAATATCTTGTAAGTGGTCAAGATCCCCACCCCTAAACCATATATATTCTGGTTTGTCATGGGAAGATGGTTTGAATGATATACAGGGTTAGTCCCCAGGGGTCATCCCGACCCCCTGCCATTTGAGAAAGTTCTAATATCTTGTAAATGGTCGAGATCCCCACCCCTAAACCATATATATTCTGGTTTGTCATAATAAAGCACATCAAATGTTATACAGGGTTAGTCCCCAGGGGTCACCCCCACCCCCTGCCATTTAAGAAAGTTCAAATATCTTGTAAGTGGTCAAGATCCCCACCCCTAAACCATATATATTCTGGTTTGTCATGCTAAGATGGTTTGAATGATATACAGGGTTAGTCCCCAGGGGTCATCCCGACCCCCTGCCATTTGAGAAAGTTCTAATATCTTGTAAATGGTTGAGATCCCCACCCCTAAACCATATATATTCCTGTTCGTCATGTAATGAACATTTGAATGACGTATAGGGCCAGTCCCCAGGGGTTCCTCCCCACCCCCAATGTTCTAGTATCTTGTAAATGGTCGAGATCCCCACCCCTAAACCATATATATTCTGGTTTGTCATGCCAAGATGATTTGAATGATATACAAGGTTAGTCCCCAGGCATCACTAATGCATATAACTTTACTGGACCAAACCAATTTTCACTGGACGTTGCCCAATGTCAGGCGACCCTGGGAATTACGAATTATGGGAGCTTCGTTTGGGAGACTTCGTAACAGCATCCTGTTACAATCATTTCTTGTTATCTATTGATTTAGCTCTCCTGGCCTGAAGGGCCATGTTAGCTTTTGCCATCACATCATCAGTCAGTCTGTCTGTCCATTGTCAAAAACTTTTGAAAAAATCTTCTCCTCTAAAACTGCTGGGCCAAATGTTATCGAACTTTACCTGAATGTTCCTTAGTGTATTAAGTTTTAAAAAAATGTATTTAGGGATTTGATCTGTCAACAAACATGGCCCCTGTTGCTAAAAATAGAACATAGGGGTGAAATGCAGTTTTTTATATGGCGTTTACGGGACGTATTATGGTATACCGTTGTCTGTCTGTCCGTCTGTCCGTCGTCAACATGTCGGACATTAACTCAAAAATGCTTTAACCAATTTGCATGTAACTTTGGTGAATTGTTTATATCTATTGACGTGAGCTCCCTTTCAATTTTTGTAAATTTTAGATTTTACGATTCCGAGTTACAGGGTTTTATTCATAAAAAAAGGGGGGATTTTCCAGTTTTCGGACAAAAACTCAAAAATGCTTTCAGCAATTCTCATGAAACTTTGGTGAATTGTTTGTATGTATTGATGTAAGCTCCCTTTAGAATTTTATAAATTTTACATTTTACATTTCTGAGTTATGGGGTTTTATTCATTAAAAAAAGGGGTGATTTTCCAGTTTTCGGACAATAACTCAAAAATGCTGTCACCAATTCTCATGAAACTTTGGTGAATTGTTTATATCTATTGATGTAAGCTCCCTTTTTATTTTCATAAATTTCTAATTTGACATTGAGAATTAATTGAACTTTATTTGTTTATAGTCTGACAACAGATTTACTAAGTATTACACAACAGCAAGAAATCTTTAATTGAGTATAAATTCAATTCATATAACCAATTTCAAGTTCTTTGACTACATTTATTCAGAAACCTATAATATGTCAAATATTTAATTACAATCCAAATTCAGACCTGAATCAAGCTTGAATATTGTGTCCATTTTTGCCCCAACTGTTCAGGGTGGACCTCTGCGGTCGTATCTAGCTGCGCTCAGTGAAGCAATTATTATTGGCTTATATCTCAAAATTTAAAACAGTAAATCTGACATGGATAATAATGAACAGCAGGTCAAGGTCTATCATCTGTGTAATTTGCAGAAAAATCAAACATCCCAATTTTCGAGCTATTGCCCCTGAATGTCATTTTTTGCAATTTTTACAGATACTATAAAAGATACAGAGAAATTTTAACATTAAAAATGACTAAAACAATAAGATCTACAAATAAGTGAAAACTTGGCAGAAATCATTAAATGACCCCTAGTGGAAGTTATTGTCTTTAAACAAAGATTTTTACCCTTTTTGTCTTTTTTTCAAAGGTAAAATATGATCTACAAATGAGTAAACTCTGCCAAAATGGAAAAATTGTCAATAGGAGTTAATTTCCTAGAGAGAAATTGTAAATACAAGTGTTAAGCAAAATAAAATCTACAAATTAGTGAACTGTGCCAAAATTGGCAATTTACCACATATACGGTAGGAGTTATTGCCCTTGAAAGATATTTCTTTCCCATTTTTTCAGTTTTGCAAAAACCATCAAAGATAGACAAAATTTTTGAATAGTAAAGATGTTAAGCACTATCAGATCTACAAATAAGTCAAGAGGGGCAAAATTGTCAACTGACTTCTTTTAGGAGTTGTGGCCTCTGAATGACCATTTTTACCCATTTTATGCATTTTTTGCAGAAACAAAGATAGATAGAGAGCAACAATATATGACAAAAATGTTCATCAAAATCAGAACTAAAAATCAACAACATGTTTAAAACTATCAATTGTTCTCTGAGAAGATTAATTGTCCTTGATAGATGATTTTTTTTCTATTTTTGCAGTTTTTGCACAAACTATAATAGAAAAAAGACAAACAGTCAAAAGTAAAAAATGTTCAGTACAATAAGATCTACAAATCAGTCATCATGGTCAAAATGTCAACTGACAATGGTCAGATAAGATAATCCTTATACATGTTATAGAAGTTATTTCCCTTGAATGATGATTTTCATTCAATTTTTTGAATTTTTGTCAAAACTATGATGATCAATCAATACAAGACCCACATGAATGCCACTAAATAAGATCTATGAATAAGCAAACATAACTGATTGCAATAAGGGAAAACATAAATATCAAAATGGCGTATTTTTTACAAGGTGTGCAATTCAGGCTCTTGGGAGCCTCTTGTTCACAATGAAGGAGCAATTACTTCCAATGTATCCCCTGACCTTAGGAATCTCAGAGGAAATGAATTCAAAACTTTGGTAAGCATTCCAAATATGTTCAAGGATACATCTTACAAAATGTTTTTGATAATTCTTATTGTTTCATTCCTATTTTTTTTGGCATTTTGTCATTCAATTCTCCATTTATTTCTCTATAAAAACTCAACACACATTACTTTCCTGCCAAATTTTATTTGAAATTGACCTGTCTTTAATTCTCTAGAATTTTCAAATATATTGATTAAACCTTATACCGGTAGATCATATTAAACTAGAGAAAACATTGTTATTTTGTACGTTCTGATGGTATAAAGAAGAAACTAAAAAAACATACAAAACATATTAAAAAAAGTATGTTCCTTTATACTGTAAATTCAGAAATTATTGCGTGCATTTATTATTGCGATTTTGTCATTTTAGACTAAAATGCGATTTTAATTTTTGCGATATTGAGAAAAATCCTGTTTATTTCATATAAAAAATTTCAAAATGCAAGTTTAAATTATTTCGATTATAACCTTGTCGCATTTTTCGCAATAATAAAAACATTGCATTAATTTCTGAATCTACAGTACTTATAAGAGAATAAATTGTATTATAATGTTTAATTTGCTTTGAATGGATTGTACTTATATTCATAATGTTGGTTTTTCTACGATCTGTCTATACATTGTACCATTCATGAATGTTGAAATATTGACAACTAGACCTTGAGCTTGTTTAGATTCTTAGAAAATTAACCAAATAATAGATTGATTGTTGACTTCTTAGGCCACCTTAGCACATAATATAAAACCAAGGTGATGTGGTATGATTGCCAATGAGACAAATTTCCACTAAAACTAAAGAACAGGGATGTGAAAAGCTACCATTCTTCCTTTAACAATGAAAAAAACCCATACTGTATAGTAAGCTATAAAAGGCCATGAGATGACAAAAATGTGAAATAATTCAAAAGAAATAAGGAATGATCTAATGACTATAATTTGGCTACCAGACTATAAATATTACTTTTATAATATTTCCTATCTATTTTTCATGTTTTGGTGCTATTTTGGATTTTTTTTAGCAATGATAAAGCAATTTCTGAGTGATGTTGTATGGAGAGATATTGACTACCTTATCATTGACACACCACCAGGATCATCTGATGAACATCTGTCAGTTATTGATAACTTGAAGGCTTATAATCCAGATGGAGCTATTCTTGTTACAACACCACAAGTATGTATCATGCTCCAAGGTCTAACTTTGTGGTTGAGGTATGACCTGGGCATTGTGAATAGTCTTCTTTTGAACTCTTTTGGTGGTGAAAAGCTGCAGTAATTTGAAATAAGTTTCAGAAAAAAATCAGTATCAGCAATCTGGGGAAGCATCAAGTATATACACTCAATAGCACTTAGTTGTTTGGTTGAAATAACTATTATAAAAGCCAGTACACAACAATTAAAATGTGATAATCCCTATAAACTTGTAGTGGTGCTCAACTAACAAAAGGTATTTTATGTTATGATATATAGTCATGATTGTTGACTCACTAATCAAAATGAAGTTCATTGTGACACTCTGCTTTGGGTCAGCTGAGGAGCAATTGAGTGTAGTTTTCTAGATGTTAGTTTCTTGCTGATCTATGATATCTAGCCTTTTAATCTTTCATTACTAATTTTTATATGACCACAAAAAAATTTTGCAGTCGTATATTGGTATGACGTTGGCGTCGTCGTTGTCGTCGTCCGAAGACACATTGGTTTTCACACTCTAACTTTAAAGTGAATGGATCTCTATGAAATTTTACCATAAGGTTCAATACCACAAAAGAAAGGTGGGGATTGATTTTGGGGGTTATGGTACCAACAGTTAAGGAATAAGGGGCCAAAAATAAGCATTTTTGTAACTTCCAGACATAACTTGCGTGTAAGTGTATGGATCTTTATGAAATTGTACTACAAGGTTCCATATCACAAAGGGAAAGCTGGGTTTGAGTTTGGGGGTAATTGCCCCAAACGTTTAGGAATTTGGAGCCAAAAAAGGGCCTAAAAACAAGCATTTTTCTAGTTTCCAGACAATAACTTGTGTTCAAGTGTATGGATCTCTCTGAAATTGTACTGCAAGGTACCATACCACAAAGGGAAGGCTGGGATTGAGTTTGGGGGTGATGAATCATAAGGGGGTTCAAAAAATTTGGGGGAGGGATTTTTTTTTGTCTATAAAATTTTCCATTTTAAATTGGTTATTTCTGATTTATATATAAAAGCAAATAATAATGATATGGTTTGAAAAGGTAAATTAAAATTTTTTAAGTTCTTTAACCACATTCATTCTGTGTCAGAAACCTATGCTGTGTCAAATATTTAATCACAATCCAAATTAAGTTCTGTATCAAGCTTGAATATTGTGTCCATACTTGCCCCAACTGTTCAGGGTATGCCATGGTATCAAGCTGCGCCCAGCGGAGCATTTTATTCACAAACTGTTTTTATTAATGCGAAGAATGCAACAGTATCAGGTGTGCATAATAAAAACCAGCATTCATAATTTCAGTACATGTAGTTATTTTCCTTCACAAAATTTTGTGCAGTTGCATTAATAGTAATGAGTGAATCTCAATAATAAACACTTAAATTTATTTCTAAATTTACAAAATATCTATTTTTGGCCGACATTTCTTAAAATAGAACATAGGGGTAAAATGCAAGTATTGTCTATTATTTTGAAAATCATTATAAATAGAGAATATCTAACAGGGAGCAAAAAATGTTAAAAATGTTGAGCTCTACCTGTTCTTCATTGATGTCAATGCTATCAGGCGACTTCTTATAGGAGTTATTGCCCTTAAATGACAAATTTTACCTTTTTTTTTTCATTTTTATACGACCGCAAAAATTGAAAATTTTTTGGTCGTATATTGGTATGACGTTGGCGTCGTCGTCGTCGTCGTCGTCGTCGTCGTCGTCGTCGTCGTCCGGCGTCGTCGTCGTCGTCGTCTGGCGTCGTCCGAAGACACATTGGTTTTCGCACTCTAACTTTAGTTTAAGTGAATGGATCTCCATGAAATTTTACCATAAGGTTCAATACCATGAAAGGAAGGTTGGGATTGATTTTGGGGGTTATGGTACCAACAGTTAAGGAATTAGGGGCCAAAAAGGGGCCAACAATAAGCATTTTTGTAACTTCCAGACAATAACTTGTGTGTAAGTGTATGGATCTCTCTGACATTGTACCACAAGGTTCCATATCACAAAAGGAATGCTGGGATTGATTTTGGGGGTAATTGCCTCAAAATGTTAGGAATTAGGGGCCAAAAAAAGGGCAAAAAACAAGCATTTTTCTAGTTTCATGACAATAACTTGTGTGTAAGTGTTTGGATATTTCTGAAATTGTACTACAAGGTTCCATATCACAAAGGGAAAGCTGGAATTGAGTTTGGGGGTAATTGCCCGAAATGTTTAGGAATTGGGGGCCAAAAAGGGGCCAAAAATAAGCATTTTTCTAGTTTCCAGACAATAACTTGTGTTCAAGTGTATGGATCTCTCTGAAATTGTACTGCAAGGTACCATACCACAAAGGGAAGGCTGAGATTGAGTTTGGGGGTGATGAATCATAAGGGGGTTCAAAAAATTTTGGGGGGGGGATTTTTTTTTTTCTTTTTTTTTTCTTTTTTTCCTTTTTTTTTTCTTTTAAAATTTTCCATTTTAAGTTGGTTATTTCTGATTTATATTTAAAAGCAAATAATAATGATATGGAAGGAGATACACACCAAACAGGATGTGTAAATCATTATATAATAAGTATTGTGCAATAGCAAGAAATTTTCAATTGCACAGTATTGCACAATAGCAAGAAATCTTCAATTGCACAGTATTGCGCAATAGCAAGAAATCTTCAATTGCACAGTATTGCGCAATAGCAAGAAATATCCAATAGCACAATATTGCGCAATAGCAAGAAATTGTCAATTGTACAGTATTGCGCAATAGCAAGAAATAATCAATTGCACAGTATTGTGAAAAAGAAGATACTTCGTATAAATTGCTTATTTCTTGATCAATTTCAATGGGGTTTTATTCTTGAATTCTTGGGGTTCTTTAATATGCTGAATCTAACCGTGTATTAAGTTTTTGGATTTTGGGCCCCGTTTTTAAATTGGTCCACATTGAGGTCCAAAGGGTCCAAAATTTAACTTTGTTGGATTTCATCAAAAATTGAATTATTGGGGTTCTTTGATATGCCGAATCTAACCGTGTATTTAGATTCTTAATTTTTGGTTCCGTTTTCAAATTGGTCTACATAAAGGTCCAAAGGGTCCAAAATTAAACTTTGTTTGATTTTAGCAAAAATTGAATATATGGGGTTCTTTGATATGCTGAATCTAACCATGTATTTAGATTTTTGATTATGGGCCCAGTTTTCAAGTTGGTCCAAATCGGGGTCCAAAATTAAACTTTGTTTGATTTCAACAAAAATTGAATATATGGGGTTCTTTGATATTCTGAATCTAACCATGTATTTAGATTTTTGATTATGGGCCCAGTTTTCAAGTTGGTTCAAATCGGGGTCCAAAATTAAACTTTGTTTGATTTCAACAAAAATTGAATATATGGGGTTCTTTGATATGCTGAATCTAACCATGTATTTAGATTTTTTATTGTTGGGCCCCGTTATCAACTTTGTCCACATTGAGATCAAAAGGGTCCAAAATTAAACTTTGTTTGATTTCATCAAAAATTGAATATATGGGGTTCTTTGATATGCTGAATCTAACCATGTATTTAGATTTTTGATTATGGGCCCAGTTTTCAAGTTGGTCCAAATCGGGGTCCAAAATTAAACTTTTGTTTGATTTCAACAAAAATTGAATATATGGGGTTCTTTGATATGCTGAATCTAACCATGTATTTAGATTTTTGATTATGGGCCCAGTTTTCAAGTTGGTCCAAATCGGGGTCCAAAATTAAACTTTGTTTGATTTCAACAAAAATTGAATATATGGGGTTCTGTAATATGCTGAATCTAACCGTGTATTAAGTTTTTGGATTTTGGGCCCCGTTTTTAAATTGGTCCACATTGAAGTCCAAAGGGTCCAAAATTTAACTTTGTTTGATTTCATCAAAAATTGAATTATTGGGGTTCTTTGATATGCCAAATCTAACCGTGTATTTAGATTCTTAATTTTTGGTTCCGTTTTCAAATTGGTCTACATAAAGGTCCAAAGGGTCCAAAATTAAACTTAGTTTGATTTTAACAAAAATTGAATTTTTAGGGTTCTTTGATATGCTGAATCTAAACATGTATTTAGATTTTTGATTATGGGCCCAGTTTTCAGGTTGGTCCAAATCGGGGTCCAAAATTAAACTTTGTTTGATTTCAACAAAAATTGAATATATGGGGTTCTTTGATATGCTGAATCTAACCATGTATTTAGATTTTTGATTTTTGGGCCCTGTTATCATTTTTGTCCACATTGAGATCAAAAGGGTCCAAAATTAAACTTTGTTTGATTTCATCAAAAATTGAATTCTTGGGGTTCTTTGATATGCTGAATCTAACCATGTATTTAGATTTTGGATATTGGACCATAAAAGGTGAATGTCCAATTTAAAATTTTTAAGTTCTTAGACCACATTCATTCTGTGTCAGAAACCTATGCTGTGTCAAATATTTAATCACAATCCAAATTCAGAGCTGTATCAAGCTTGAATGTTGTGTCCATACTTGCCCCAACTGTTCAGGGTTCGACCTCTGCGGTCGTATCAAGCTGCGCCCTGCGGAGCATTTTATTGCCTTTTATCTTGAAAACTATAATAGATAGAGAGAAACTTTAATATGCAAAAAAGATAAGCAAGTCAAGATCTATGAATAAGAATAATGCATGGTTGAAATCGTCAGTTGACTTTTTATTAGAGTTATTACCTTTGGATGACTTTTTTTAACAATTTTTTGCATTTCTGCCTTATACCTTAAAAATTATAATAGATAGATAGAATTTTAATAATTAAGCAAAAATGATCAGCAAAACTTTTACAAAAATTTTCTCCTCTGAAACTACAGAGCCAAATTTAACCAAACTTGGCCACAATCATTATTGAGGTATTGTGTCCGATGACCCCGCCAGCCAACCAAGATGGCCATCATGGCTAAAAATTGAACATAAGGGTAAAATGCAAGTTTTGCCTATTATTTTGAAAACTTCTATATAAATAGAGAAAATCTGACAGGGAGCAAAA